CATGTCCCAAATCAACAAGGGACTTCAACAACACCATCAACAACATCCACAACACAACCAACAATTTCAACAACATAACCAATCTTTTCTCAATAAATAAAAGGGGCTTGGTGTGTGGGGGAAAGGATCAACCCACACTATGAACTCACATACCTTAATAGGGATCACCCCCCGACGATATCCACGACGGAACTTGCTTGATCTCCTTGCTCCTTCTTCTCTTTCTCCTCTTCTTATCCTCTTCACTCTCAAGCCCTAGCTCTCACTCTTTTAAAATGGGACAAAATGATCCAAAATAAGCCTAACACCACAATATAACCTCAAAAGAAATGGCTAGGGAAAAAGACCAAACTGCCCTTAAAATTTCCGGACGGATTCCCTACCAACTGCCCAACTTTCAAAGGGCATAACTCACTAATACGAACTCGGAATCGAGCAAACTCGGTGGCGTTGGAAAGACCATTCCACGAGCTATGCAACCATAACCGGAATTACACCTAACTCATCCTGACCTAGAAGTTATGACTGCTCAAAGTTGGCCAAAAACTCACCTTTTTCCATACTTGGCCAAATTTCCAGATTTTTAAATCTTTCCAAAAATGTCTATTTCCAATTCTAAGCCTCTTCATAATTATTTCAAATCGTTGGTTGTTACAACATAATTTTTTTTTCTAATAGAATTTATTTTGTATGTTTTACAGGATTTGGAGACATCCGTTTTCTAGTCAAGAAGCAAGTTGGAATACTTTAAAAAAATTGACAAATTTATTATCTTTTTTTAAGGCTTGTATGGAATACTTTAATAGGAATTTTTGTTTTTTTGGCCAATGAGTTGCTTAATAGTCTTGTGACCATATTTTTGTAAACAATATTGTTTGTGAGATGTTAATCAACACTTCTAATTAATATATTATCCAGATGCATTTTGTTATCTATATTATCTAAGAAAAGCATGACAGGAAAAATTACGTGTTATTTATGTGCCACATTTTCTAGCCATAAATCATCTCTAGGGACCAACAGTGTGTGAGTCCTTAAAACTGTTTAAGGATCAGATTTTTGGTCGTGATAACCTTTTAGTGTCTAGATAAGCTCGTTGTGAAATTTTAAGGTACCAATTGATTGTTTTGTGTAAGGACTAGATTCATGGTCCTAAAAGAGTTTTAGGGACTAGAACTTTACAGGGTCGCAAAAACGTTTTAAGGACCGACGCCTAAATCTCGTCCCTATTGACCTTTAGCGACTGAGCCAATAGAGACGGCTGGCAACCAGAATTTTCTCGTCGCTAGTGACCTTTTAGAGACCAGAATTAGACCTTTTGGGACCATATTTCTCGTCCCTAGTGGCCCTTTTTCTTGTAGCGAATTCATATTTATAGAGATTTCTTTCCTTGTCCAAGAAATAGAGAAGTGTCTGTCCTTAAATAGAAAAAGACATGTATTTTTTCCCTTTTCTTAGAATAGAAAAAGACATGTACTTCTCCCTTTCCTTAGAATAGAGAAATACACACATTTCTCCCTTTCCTCGTTAGTATAGATTATGAGTTCTAGTGAAATATGGGCACGGTAGGGATCACATAATTAATTACTGAGGCTTCCTATTATGGAAATAATTTTAAATAATTAATTTGAATTATTCTCACCATAATAAATTACAAATCATTCCACTAGAAATTCATAATTGCATTCCTCTATTTATATTTTGAAATTCCCTATTAAACACATATGTAATTTCCCATGTTAAGATTACATATACTAATCAATAAACTAAATTACTGACAAATTTAATTCAATGATCAATTTCCTTTAGAGGACTGCTTAGCTTATTTCATATGTCGGATTCATAAATTCACTTGCAAGGTTTGACACGATGAAAACTTATAAGCTTCTCAGAAAGGCATATCATCAATCTCTATATCGAGACTTGGATTCCGTCAACTCACTTATTATTTCACCAATATATATTATCATCATCCAATCTACCTGACATATTGATTAATCTTAGAATCTCACCTTTTAATAAATCAAAACGATATTAACATATACAGATCATAAAGTTATATCAGGATTAAGAATACAAGTACATTTAATAGTTTAGAGAATATGCTTTTGTCAGTCAGTCTAAAACAACTATATCTACTCGGTCCCGTTCCATACATACAAAATGTACTAGCACAAGAAGTTGGAACTATACCATTCAAATAATCAAGATAAACTACATATAATCTTGTGCTACAATCGTACCGATGTCGTGTCCAATTTTCATCTTAAATTGTGAACAAAAAAATTTATACTTATAAGAACCGATGATTTAATCCTCTGTGTATAAGCTAAAACTTTATACACTTAATCATCTGTTATATAAGTAAACAAACACCATAAACGAATATATGATTTATTAAAAATGAATAAATAATTATTCTATAATAAATATTATATATAAATACATGATTAATAGTTTATATCCCAACACAGTACTCATTCAGCTAATAAAGATTCAGTCATTTGTCACTCTGATTGTCTTACGAGGAGATTCCTGTGTTGATTGTTGGTGTGACCCTAATTTCTATCTCATTTCGTTCATCTTTTTTTTTTTTCTTTCCATTGTTTTGTTGTTGTAATGTGATTTGTTATGTTTGTTAAAGTTGCAAGAATTTTCCAGTTTATGCCAGAAGATTCAGTACTACTCACTACTAGTTATCTAATTTAAGTTAAAGAAAGTGGAATTCAGAAAATATAGAACTCAGTAACTTAAAAAGACTAAAATCCTGAGAGTTTAATTACAAAAGAAAAATGAGAACAAGAAGGAATTTTGACAGGTTCCTAGTTTCCACTAAAATGGCTCATGTGTTTTCCCCCTCTTGTTTTTACTTGGTCTCCTTCATATGGGATTCTTTTCCCTTTTTTCTAACCCGCTCATATTTGATCCAACCTGCCCATTTTAAGTCACCGCTCTTGACATCCCAGCTCGTTCCACGTGCTTTTACTTCCCTCTTTTGCCATTGTCCCAATTTAGAAATGGGAGGCTGAAAATCAACAACAAGAAGAAAAAACAGAACAATTGTTATAAAATAAAAATGAACCAAAGTCATGTAGGATTGGATTTGTTTGTATACTTACCTTTACTATTATCAAATAAGACTTCACATATGCTTGTAAAGCTCCACCATATTTAATTTCTCTTCAACATCTTTCATTCTCTTTGGAATCTCCTTCAGCTCTGGACAAGCATGGATATGAAGACCTTTAATGAGAGACATGGCACTTGTGTCTAAATGCCATCGTTCTAGGTTTGAAAGATCATAAAGACGAAGGGACTCTAGTTGACTGAAGGTGTTATCGCTGCACATTATTTCTTTTCCTTTATAAGCTTCTTGTAATATGAGATCTTTTAGGTTTGGCAACTTTCCCAAAATAGGCATCGGATCCTCCATGAGTCTTGACTGCCAAAGAACCATCATTGTGATGGAATTTGGAAACAGAGGCAGTTTCTCTACTCTCCCTTTTAACCACAATTTCTGCAGCTTTTCACAAGAATAAAGAAATTCAAGGGATGGGAATGGAGATGTGTATAATTCATCACGTTCACAAAACAATCTGAGAGTGCTAAGGTTTTTCAAGCTGCTAATGTTCTTTAGGGAGTAAGAGTTCCAAATACTACACATGGTTAATTCTCGAAGGTTGACTAAATCAACAGGGTCAACATCTTTCCACTGATCACAATAAACGCCTTTAAGAACTTGAAGGCTAGTGAGTTTGCTTAGATGTTTCAGAGATTCTGAATACCGAGCATCTAAATGTCTTAGATTTATTAGGTCAGCTGTCTCTTGGGGTAGTTTGCAAGAGTATCCATTGACAACAAGTGTCTGTAGATTCTTGAGGTTGCCAATGGAAGTGGGAAGATCATGGATACGACCTCTCAATCTTAAGAACTTGAGGTGGTACAAACTTCCTATGGCATCAGGAACTAAATGTGGATGTGGATTCTTGTCAACACACATCTCCAAGTATAACACATAGAGATGTTGGAACACACTACTGAAATTTATAAGACTAATCTTACGATCGAAGAACATAATTGACCTCAACTTTAAGTTAGAAAGATCAAGTGAGGGGTACCTTTCTCCTTGACTATGAATGACATGTCTGATACATAAAGAGGATATGGAGTGTCTTTTTGGATCATAAATGCCAAAGAAGTTTACTTTCAATGCCTCTTGTATCGCAAGATCATGGAGTAAATCATGAACCCTACATGCAGTAACTCTTTCCCAAAATGTATGTACAACTAGTATCAAGCTTCGTCTTATCAGCTCATTCAAGTAGCCTTCAGCGACATCCTCCATTCTTTCTTCTCCTCTTGGTATGAAACCCTCCGCCATCCACAACCGTATTATGTTTTCAGCCTTGACCACTTGATCTTCTGGAAAAATACCAAAGTAGAGAAAACACTGCTTGAGCGCAGTTGACAAATCATTGTAGCTTAATGATAGTATGTTGGAGATTTCAATATATTCATCTTCAACATTGTTCTTCCAAAGGTGATCTTTCACCTTTTGCCATTCATCTAGCCTCTTTTTATGTGAAAGTAGTCCGCTCAATACAACAATTGCAAGAGGTAAGCCTCTACACTTTCCCACCATATTCTTAGCTACCCTCTCCATAGTGAAGGTCATTGCTTGAACATCAAGTAGTTTCCTACGAAAGAGATCCCAACTTTCTTCTTGGGTTAGGAAACGAAGTTCATGGACAAAACCTCTGTTATCCGCTCTTTCAGCGACATCCTTTTTGGGCGTGGTAATAATGACTCTGCTGCCATTCTTGCTATCCGGGAATGCTCTTTTCAATCTCTCCCATACTTCTTTCTGCCGTACATCATCAACCACCACAAGGTATTTGCGTTCTGTTAATAGATCACGAAGATAAATTTCTAGATCTCCTTCTGGCATGCTTTCCAACAAATCTAGAGTTACCTTGGTGCGACCTTGGATGGATTTTATGATAGTCGAAAGAAGATCCATTGTGTTGTACTCTTGAGAAACACATATCCAAGCGCATGTTGGGAAGCTAGAGGCTATATTAGGATTGATGTAAAGTTTTCTGGCAAGAGTGGTCTTGCCTAAACCGCCCATTCCATAAATGGAGAGGACGCTTCGACGAGGCTCTGCTTTGAGAAGTTCATATACCAATGTTTGTACAACATCTTGAAGTCCAACAAAAATGTAATCCTGGTCATCCACATATGAGGTAGTTCTCCTCAATGTTCTAACCTTATTACTTGTCCCTTTTCCTGCATTATAATTGATAGTATTTGTAATATCATAAGTCTCTCGCTTGACAGAGATATCCATGACTCGTTGCTTGAGTGATTGGATCTCTTTGGCGACATTGTAGGATTTCTTCCTACAGATGCAAGCGCAAACCTTGAGACAACTAGCACATTTACCATCCTCGATGCTATAAGTCTTGAGTATAGCAACAACGTCATAAGCAATAGAGTTGATCTCAAGCACCCATTGTTCAACTCTTTCATCTCCACTTCGCTTTTGTTCTGCATCTTTGAGGAAAGACTGCATTAAGAGAAGCTCGTTTCGCAGCCATGTAACTTCTTCTCTTAGATTTTTACGCAGGGAAACTTGTTGTATGAGTAGATCACCCAATTTTTGAACTGCAAATGATACAAAGGCCTCAGCCATATTTTTTATTGAAGAAAAGAGGGGTAGGTAGGTGTATGGAAATTAATATTTTTTAAAAAAGCTAAAGTGTGTATGGAATTAATATTGAGAGTTTGATAAGTGATGAATATTGTTAACATGGAATTCAGTATTTAAAGCTTAAAAAATCCGACAGGGGAAAATGTTGTAAAGTAGAAAGATGATAGAGTTAGAGGTTAATGATAAAGAAAAGTATATATTCTCCACTAAGTGCAAGCCAAGAATTTAAAATTGCATGACACAAGTTATGCTCAGTGTAGTGGTGAAGCCAAAAATTTCGCTAAAAACGTTCAAGATTTAATATATATGTATGAAAAATAATTTTTGACTTATATATTTTGTACAATTTTCTATATACATAGTATAATTTTTTGACGAAGGATGTCCGACTGAACACCCTGAGCTATATGTGGTTACACCACTGCTTAATTGGCACAAGTTGTGTTTTAAGACAAGAAATTATGTCCCAAGGCACAAGTTCCCCCTGGGCAAACAACAACAACAACAATATACCCAATGAAACTCCACAAGTAGGGTCTGAAGAGGGTAAAATGTATGCAAACCATACCACTACCTCATGGAGGTAAAGATTGTTTCAGAAAGGCTCTCGACAATAAGTCTCCTAGGGCAAATATCACGATATTTATGTACTTCATACTTTATTTAAAAAGACATATCATAGTAGATTAAATTTTATTATTCAGAAGAGTTGGTTTAATTGTTCCTCCACCTATATCACTTTTAGCTAATTAATTATATTCCATTTGCTTTATTTTATCGAAACATGTTTGGCTAGGTAGGCCATTTTAATCAGGGCTAGAAGATTTTAAAATTTTTGTGGTATCAATGTGGTTATAAAATCATATTATTAATAGTAAAATGAGAAAATTTAAATTTAGTATATTCAAATTTCATCTTTAAATAATAGATAGCTTTCTTTTCTTTTTAACTATCCTTGTTTGGGGAATCTATCGGAAAAAAATTGATGAACATGACTTCTCATTTTGAAGATGCGTTTTGTGACTTTGAAGAGAAGAAATAAAATATTCGATAAGTCAGCACAAATTAATTTGAATTCAGCCTTGGAGGTTATTCCATAAAGATTTTGTAAGAGCTTGAAGGTCAAGATCTCAAAATTGATTTGTTGAAAACGAATTTTGTTTTGAATTGGTGATTTCTCAAAAGAACTGAAACGTCGACGAGACTAATAATATAAAATTTGAGATTATTTGGGTAAAATTTGAAATAGTTTTGGACTGAATTTTTAATTATAGTTCATTGAAATTCAAAATTACAGTCAAACTACAAATATAATAACTAATTAAGTAGTATAAGTTTGCTTAATTGCGTAATTTTCCCTATTTATTTATAAATGATTAGTTAAAGTTGATAATGTACATGTTTTTTAAAATATCATTTTTATAAAAGTAAAATCCTTGTGCAAATGTCAAACAAAACATTTTATCGATCATATTCATTTATGCAAAACTGCAACAGAGTGATATTGATCTTTGTAAATTATAATTTATTTTATATATTTATCTTCACGACTATTAAAGAGACTAAAGTAGAACGTCACATATAATACAACACAACATCATAAAAAATAATATGTAAGATTATAGAGATTATGATTAAATAAAGTTTTGGATATTACTCCATGTATGTTTTCCTGGGAACATAATACAACAATAATAATAATATATTTAGTAAATTATGTTCTGCCAAGGCTTCACGAGCCAGGTTCACGAGTCATCGTCCTCACCATGGGTTGTTTAGGCCTCCGTGGGAGGGGCTTCTGCAGGCTGGCCTTGGGAAACTAATCATGAGGGCTCCCGCGGACCGTGGTCCCCTTCACGGCCCGTCAAGGGCTCCGTGGAGGGGTTCCTTGGTCCAGTTTTGGCCTGTGTGTTTTCCCCACTACCCCTTTCCACTCTTTCACGAATCTGAGGTGTTACAGTTTCAGGAAAAACAGTCTAAAGCAACCAAAGAAGCATCACAACGTGGAACTCTTTTTTATGCAGTGAACTGGGGCAAATTTGCTAAAGAGGAATATCAAACTCGCTAGTAGAGGTCAAGGATCTACTCTCGAACTTATCTCCATCTACGTCCCACGAATATGTGATATATATGTAGGTTATCCAAATTTTTCTTCCATTCCCACTGATAAACCTCAACTCATGACCTCTCGAGGCTAAAAATCCTTTAGTGTCTCTCTCCTCAAACTCTCCATGTACGTATATTTTTTGGTCGAGACAAAATTGGCTACTAAGTCAACTTCTTTGCTTGAAGACTCTTTCATCATCTTTGGTCAAAGAGGGGCAAGTTGTTGACACCCAATTTTGTCCCTTCTTTCTTCTAATTTATTTTCTTAAGCTTCTAAACTACTAATAAGCTGAATATGTTACATTTTACTACTTTTTATCACTATTTATTGTTATTGTTATTATTACTACTATCATTTTCACTATTCTTAAAATAACTGATGTCTTATCAACACCAATATTCTTACTTCATTATCATCTTCCTCGCAATCGATTGTTATTATTTTATTTCGAGTTTCTTGCTCACTAAATTTTTTATATAATGTATATTATACTAGTTACTAAATTAGAAGCTCAAATGAATTAACTTAAAAAAGACCCAAAATGCTCCAGCATTGTAACACCTCGCTATTTGAAAGAATTAGAAAGAGTCGTTTTTGGAAAGAATGAAAAATCTTGAAAATTAGTTATGTTAAGTTTGAGTTTTTGGTCAACTTCAAACAACCATAACGCCTAGCTCAGGATGAGTTAGGTGTGCTTCGAGATATCGTAGGAAAGATCTTGGAATTATCTTTCCAACGCCTCCGAGTTTGCGTGATTTCGAGTTCGTATGAGGGAGATACGCCCATTTGAAGTTGGGTTGTTTGGATAAGGAAAGTCTAATCCGGATTTTAGAAAGGCATTATGGTATTTTCCATACCCTATTATTTTAATTTCATTTTTGGTAATTAAGTTGGGGTTTAAACTGATTTGGTTCAGTTTACGCTTTTCAAAAAGAGTTAGGGTTTTGAGAGAAGAGAAAAGAAGAGGAGAAAAAGCAAGGATTCGTCGATTTCTTGGAGATTTTTGTGTGGATCTACGAGGTATGTGAGATCACATAGCGTTGGGTTAGCTAACCCACGTGCCAATCATGATTCAATTCAGCGAAGTTGTATTGTTTTGAAAGCAAATCTTATGAGTTCTTGATGATAATTCGTTTGAAATCTTGTGGGTTCTTTTTGTTGAAATTTCTTGAGTATGATTCATGCAATTAGGTGTGATTTCGAGTAGAATCATATGTGTTTTGAGCATATAGTCGATTCTAAGAGCTTGAGGAAAGAACCAAGTGAAATTAGAGGGTTTAGAGTTGAAAAATAAAGAAGAAATTTCGTCAAAAATCTGGGAAAGGGGCTGGGGCGCCACGCTCCAAAGCCGTCCCTGAAATCTTATCTTACCTCTAGGGCGCCGCGCCAGCCAGAGCGCCCCAATTCAGTCTCTGAATTTTACCCTCTGGCGCCCTGCGCCTCTCAGAGCGCCAGGGACGCCAGTTCTCCCACTTTTTCCCCCTTCTTTCCGTACTAGTTCCTTAGCAACGTACCTATGTTTTCTAGTTGATT